TTGAAGTAGTTCCCACAAAATGAAGACATGGTAATTCACAATCATTAGTTTTATAAGTGGCGTCTACTCCGTAAACGTGAGGGAATCGTAAAGCTAATTTGATTGAGTTAGGATGAGCACAGAATAAAGATAATAATTTTCCGTTATCGTCGTTATGAACATGATAATTCCATTTATTCTTGATGAAGAAATCTAACAAAGCGGTAATAGGATCCCTTCCATTTAATTCTTGAGCTCAAAATTTCTGTCTTGCATTATAAATGTCTTTCATGATAGGATTGAAACCAGGATTCTTGTCAAGAGACGTCATAATGTGGCAAGGTTTGATTGAAGATCTACTTAATTTTTGAGCCAACATGATCTGAATTAAATCTAATCTTCTATATATTGAAAATTCATTAGGAGATTGAAAAGGTTCATGATTGTGAGATAAATTATTAAGGAATTGTCCAGTACTACTATTCCTGACTTGATCTAAAACCCAATCACCAGTTTTCTTATTTTGTTTAATAACAGCCTTCCACTGACATCCCGTTTTCTTAGTTGAAGTAATACGTTGAGTAGCTTTGCTTTTTCTAGGATTACCACGATGACAGTGAAAATAAATTGTTTTATGGCATCCACAGTTATTTTTTGAAGAAGTTACAGATATTCCATATCCACCATTTAAAGATACAGAGTAAAGGTATTGCTTTGCCACCTTATCACTTCTAAAAAGTTTACCCCACCGTGGATCTTTGAGATCTAAACTTAAATCATTAACTATGTGAATAATAAGATTGATATTAATGAGAATGAATAATAATAAGAATAATTAATAATAAGAATGAATAATAATAATAATGAATAATAATAATAATGAATAAGAAGGATGAATTATAATCAGTATTAATTTGAAAAAAATTGCATCAAATTTCGAAATTAATTAAAGAAAATCACTCACCATTTGCAATTATAGGCCAGTCTGCATCCACAGCAGAACACGCCACGTGGATATCTGGAAGATCTGTTGAATAAAGAACCAAAAAAAAAAATAGATGGATCAACAACCAAAAACGTGGAAAAAGAAAATTTCAAAAAAAAAAAAAAAATCGAAAATATAATCAAATACCTTTGAGATTGATGTCTCCTTCAGCTCCAGCTTCATCTGGAAGATTATGAAGAGCTTCTACATGTTTTTGAAATTCTAAAACACGTAGAAAAACACATATTAATATGAAGAATTATCAATCATGTAAAAAAAAATATAAAAATTGAAACTCACCTTCACTGAATTTATCATCTTCAAAAGCTTTATTTTTTTTGTTGAAAGGATCTTTAATAATGTATTGCTTATTGATATGAATGAAGTCATCATTGTTTCCATCATCTGTTGAACCTTCTGCGTCTAAATCTGAATCTAAATCCATTTCATGATCTACGTGCTTTGAATCCAAATCCATTTCATCTCCGTGATTTAAATCTAATTGAACTTTGGAAAAGGGAGAAGGTTTTTGAGGTGGAAGTGATAAGGGAGCAGTTTGAAATGAATTTGAATTTGAAACAGAATGGGAAGTTCTTTTGGAAGGTGGAGTTGTCAAAACTACATTCTGATTAAAATCCGTATGAAACTTTTGATTATCTTCATTTAAATTCATTTCACTGTCAGGTAATTGTTGAATGGAAATATTCTGATTCATCTGATTATTTGACTGAATTGGATGAGTGAAATTGTTGAGATTCGGATTTAAATCATTCATCTGATTATTATTACTATTTGATTTGTTATAACTGAAATTTGAATTAGAAGAAGTGATTAAATTTGAAGAATTTGAAAGGTTTTGATTGACGGAATTAAAATTTGGTTGAACAGGATTATTCATCTTTGATTGATTGATCATATTCAAAAGAAGACCCAAAGTGTTATTGTCAATTTGATTCATACTATTTTGATTTAAGGTATTTTGAGTTTGATTTGGTAAATTTAAATTACTATTATTGAATGAATGAGTGTTAAAGTTGGAATTATTATTGTTCAATAAAGTTTGAGTGTTGAAATCCGTGTTAATAACACCATCATTAATATTCAATAAGCTACTTTGATTGTTCATTAAATTACTTTGATTCATCATTAAGGAACCTTGATGGTTTGATGGAATTTGTTGATTATTGTTGAATAAATGATTATTATGATTATTGAACATCTGATTATTATTATTCATCATCATATGATTATCATTATTCATCATATTATTCATATTATTCATCATTTGATTACTGAAGTTTTGATTTAAATTGTTGTTTATATTATTCATTTGATCATGTTGTAAACTGTTGAAATTGTTGTTGTGATTATTCATCTGATTGGTATTGTTGAAAGGTTTAAAATCACCCGTAGGGATTTGGTTGTTGTTGTTGTTGAAGTTGTTGTTTTTCATTTTAATTTGATGTGAAGAGTGAAAACCTGGCGTGACTAGCTTTAAAACTGAGAAGTTGATGATTTTTTGAAGGGTGGAGGGTTGAAAAAGTTCAAAGTCCGTGTTCTAGAGTGGAAAAGGGGGGAAAGGAGCCAAGGGGCCTCTATATCAGTGGATTTGTACGTGAAGTTTGACCAAACTTCCATGTACACACACGTGTAGGCGCGTTCCCACGCGTCTGAACAGCTGTAGGCGCGCAGAAATGACGCCTACATGGCTGTATTAGGAAAGTGGGCGCTTTTTTCCCACGCCTACATGCCGGAAAATCCATGTAGGCATGATATTCACCCGCCTACATGTCAAATCTTAAATTTAGGCGCTCAGAAATTGCGCCTACATGCAAAAAAAGGGATGTAGGCGTAAAATTCAAGCGCCTACATATGTAGGCGCACCCAAATTACGCCTACAGTCAAAAAAATAAAATGTAGGCGTAATTTCCGTGCGCCCACATATGTAGGCGCTTCAAATTGACGCCTACATTTCATTTTTGGAATGTAGGCGTATACAAATGACGCCTACATTGGTTTTCCAGCCTGTAGGCGTCATTTGAAAAGGGAAAAAGCGCCTACAGGCTGTATGTAGGCGCTTTTTCGTGGGAAAAAGGCATGTAGGCGCTGTTTTGGCAGCGCCTACATGGATTTTGCGTGGGCTGCAAATAGCAACGGCCTATTTTTAACTAACAGCTTCTTTCTTTTGGAAAAATTATCGACCTCTGGTTTCATTTCATTGCCGACTTATCAATCACAAGATGTATCTACATATATAAACCAAGTTAAGCTGACATTAATACCATGAAACCAAGTAATTCAATCAAAGAGAAAAGAAAGTCAATTCAAATATCTTAAGAAAAAGACTCAAAGTCTTACAAAGTGATCATGGTTTAGATAGATGATCAAGTTCTTTCACTTTTAGATAACAATTAACAAGAAAGCTTGCTTGGACAAAACTCCTGGGATTGTTCTGATCGATTTTAACTTACAAATGGTATCTCGTTAATTTGAAATGCTATACATCATCCAAAACCTTGATTTTTTAATGTGTCTTATATATTGTGTTTTGTAGTCTTTATTTGACTTTGAATCTTGCAATCAACTGACTCAAAATGGTCAAGAACCAAGTTGATTTGAATGTGTAGAGAACATGAATCATTCCGTAGAACCAGTATAAGTGAATCAAATGACATTAGTAGGCGTTCAAGGAGCTGATATTGTGGACTAAAACACTCGTTCTTGGTTTGGTTTGGCAATCAATGAGAATATTGTTGATCGACTTGCTTCACTTTCAAAAGGAAATACTAGAGAAATAACAGAGGGTGACATGATTAGATAGACAAATGATAAACTTAAACCTGCTTCAAAAAGAACTTCAATAAGAAGTTTTCAAGATTCTACACTTAATACTAATCATTTCCATCCTGGTTTGCTTGATGCCTTTAAACCGGGTTATGTGCATTATTCATCAGTTTATGAAAGATGACAATGAATGTACAATGGATGGTATGATTCTCTGCTTTGTACTGTCCACATGGTCGCATGAAGCTCCTAGGGCGACATCTATGACGGATCAAAGCCAGAGCCAGGAGTTGCGCAAGTCTGAATTTCAAATACACTGCAAAATGGGAGATGTGTATTGGTGTATCTTTGAAGATGAAAAAAACTGATTGTGCGCATTGGTTTTAATACTGACACTGGCGTCGATGACATTATCTTTAGCTTCTCTGAGGAGAGGTTGATGGTGATCTAACCATGGGGTCGAGGGTCCGTTGAGTCAAATGGCAGATGAGACAGTCCCTGGACAGCAGTGATATCAGTCTAGATTGTGTATGATTTGTCAAGTGGTGCAAACACAAATTACTGACTTACTGTAACATACCCAGACGGAGCATTTGAGCCCTTGATGGATGATTGAAAGGGGGATGAGGACAACCAGAGACGCGATAGAAGCGGTTATGCATGATGGTTTTGGCAGGAGGTGATTCAAGTTGTTGGAATGTTCAATGATTTAGGCCGCTTATGGTTGTTTTACAGAGGCTTCCGTCTCTTTGTTGAAGGGGGAAGTGTGGTTGATTGGAGTTTCAGACGTTGTTGGTCTGTGTAAATACAGTGGCTCACATCGTGGTTTGTTGAAGACGGCATCGGTGGAAGGCGGGTGATGCTTGAGTGGGATGTCGAGCGTTTTGGGTGTAGAGGTTGCAACTAATTGCAGTGGTGGTTGTCGTCGCTTGGGTGGGGGATGTACAGTCTGTGGTGTACCGTGTACAGCACCGAACAATGCCCGACCCGTGTACATGCTGTACAGAGGTCACGTGATTTTCCGCACCCGGGGAATCAAAAATCCCCGCGGAAAATCAATTATTTTTTGTAGTGTATTCATGTACCTGTGACCATATTCAACACCGCGTGGTTATTAGAAGACTCATCTTATATGAAAACTAAACGAACCAAGACCGTCAGCTGTACTTCCAATACTATATCATATGTTGGTTTGAAAATCGCGAGTGAATATCTTCTCAGTCAAGCGGAATGGTCTACCCGATTTGATTTAATGGTTCAATATCAGAAGACATATGATGAAAGAGATGATCAGAAAGATTTCCCGATTGCTCCTAGATTAACAGCTCATAAGGAAAATGTCTTACAGCTGCAGGAAGATAATCTAGGCATGTGGACCCCCTCAATGCAATACGACATTGCTCACCGACGGAATGTTTGGGAACACCGCATGCCTGACGGCTCTATGGCAGATGTTGGGACTTTAAACAAGACATTAGCAGCTCAAGCCTTAAGAGATGCAAAACATCACGGTGAAGATATATTTGGTGACAAGCCTTACATGTTACCCGGTGAATGGCAACACGTGAATCCAATAACTGGACGAATTCATGCTGCAGATGAGCCCTGGGACGATGAAGCGTTCAGCGGTCAATCTCAAGCCGCCATGCAGACGGGTCGACTAGTATCTCACCTAGCCACACCAACGATTCCGAATTTACCAGATCATTGTATGGCAGCAATCACACCAGCTAAGTCGGCGACAGCGCCTTCTTGGTTCAAAGGAAAAAACTGGGATCCCAATTATGTGAAACCTATACCGCCACCAATCCAATATGAACAACGAGGTGGCTTTGCAAATCTCAACAACAGCAATACATACCACAATAATCGCCCTAACCCGTATGCAAACCAGAACAATGCCAGAGCAAGCGGAAGCGGGAGTGGAAATGGTCTTTGCCCTGCGCTTGGTCCTGGAAGTTTTGTAAGAGGTTTAGGAGTGAACAAAAGTGGTGCTGTGAATCAGAAGAACAATGACGTGTCAACAAAGTGAGTTAGAGAATGGAGGTGAATGGTTCGGAAGGCGCTAGTTTTGTGTTATCCCCTTGTTCTTCCAAATATCTGTTTCCTCCTGAAGTCATGTCGCAGTCAATTCATATTGTTATGTTACCTAATTCCTCATTCTTGGGAAATTGTCATGAGATGTGTATGAGAATGAAATGTTGAAAAAAATTGACTTTTGATTGTTTTCTTCCTCTTTTTTTTCCTCTTGTTAACATGTCATGTGATCTACTTAATAAAGAGATTCCTATGTTTTGAGGGGACAACACTCAAGAGAAATTATGCACACCCAGATGAACGGCATCAAGAACCCACCCGTCATCGAGGAGAATAACAACCTAAGACTCCCTGAGTACGTTGTCAATGAGACATCAGTTCTGAAAGACTGGCCAACAAAAGCTTCCTGTGAGATGAACCTGGAAGAATCATTAGAAGTTAAAGGTCAACCATGAATTGGTGCATCCTGATCTCACTACCTATACTAATTGCAAATTGAATCATCATTTCTTCATTTCATGATTACAAGTTGAAGGTCAACTATGAATTAGTTTATCCATCAATCAACAGATCAACCGTAACTGAATTCTTTCTTCAACCCTGCATTCCATGAATAACATACTCAGCCTATTTTGCAAATCCTATTTTCCCGCCTATCCAGCAAACACGTACTCCCCACCATACAAACATCATTTCATAAGGATCTTCAGGAAATTCACCTCGCCTAATTTTTTGGGCTTCACCTAGATCTCTTTCTCCCACTCTACACTTGCTAAGTTGGAAATTGCATAATCCCTCTAATTGTATGTGCTCAAATTTCTCGACTAAAACTGCTCTTTTATATCTTCCATCATCATATTAAACTAATTACTCCCACATCTTGTTTCATTGTCTAAACCTACTGCTACCACCCGTTATCCAATCTACATGTCTGGCCCGTTTGAACGACTGGCGTATACTCATTTTATAATTTGCAAATAACACTCATATTGATCACTCTACTATTTTATCCGTCTAGATCTCATCGGAAGATACACCAAGTACACCAAATCAGGAAAGTATTTGGGTGCCTCCTGTTCCCGGGGTCTCACCCAACAACACCCAAGATAGTTTATGTATCATTGTCAATTTTGATGATGTGTACGTTGGTCTGACTCATCAGCGTAGTCCCAACATCACTCATGATGATCATCATTTTCATATTATTCATATTAAAGGAGATACATGAATTCAAACAAAATTCAACAAAACCTCCACTTCCTGCTCGGAAAATTGTGAGTTTTGAATGGCTCAAGTTTCCGACTTCAAACTTTCATCTTCATATTACTTGGATGATTTTCAAATCATCATCAATCAATCTTATGAATCTAAATCACATCCACCTTCAATCAATCGGTTCAAAGTCTTCTCAATATGTCCTATCAAACCCATCTCAATTCCCAAATCATGATGTCATGATTTCTCCCAATTGTTTGGTATCATTTCCTCAGATCCGGGATGTTGTTCAATCCATCACCGATCCATGAGAGGTAAGATTGATCAAATCAAATGTTAGGAAGTAAGTTCTACTTCTCACATTTCATCGTTGTAGTTCTGGATTGATGGTTTTCACTTTTCTGGAATAGGCATCTCACCACTGATGCTACCATCAAGCATCCAGTACTCAATCAACCCGCTTCCACCGGTGGTAGAGTCTGAGAAGACTTGGAAGGAATTTCCAAAATGGTGTCAGTCATGATTCTCATCACCTGTCTTCATACATCATCATAACCGACTTCAATTGACTTGACCTTTTTTAGACGTGTGATGACTGTGAACAAGATTTTCATGCAGCCATGTTCAACAAAGGCATGGCGAAAGGTTCCATAGGTTAGTTTTCCATTCATCCAACTCTTAACCATCAGATTTAAGAATCCTCACGACTTGATTTGTTTCAATAACTCACCAATTGGATCAACTTCAGATGGAACCCTTTCTTATCCTTAACAAAACTTCCACCTTGACTTTTGGTACGCATCAAATTGGGTCGCATCCATCTCAATCAACATCCACATCGAAGTCCAACCTTTTTGATGATCAATTGAAAGTGAAGGATGGTTGAGACACTTCCAGATCACTCGGCCTCTTCAAAAATCAACTCCTTTGATAGCATCATATTCTGATCGTTCCTAATAGTTTCTTTCCAAATGATTATCACCATTTTCAAAATTCAATACGAGATTCGATCTATATCACTTCGTTCATATCAAAGGCAAACTATGAATTCAGACAAACATCAACAAAACCTTCACTTTTAGATGCCTAATTCTGTGAGTTTTTACCAGCCAATGCTCACACTAATTACTTTCTATCTTCATACCACTTTCAATAAACCATCGATGCATGTTTCCACCTTACTCCGGAAGCAGTACTTTGGATTAGGACAATATTGTAATGTACGATGTTTTAAATCAAATCAATCATTTCTCAGGCAGATCGACCGATTTCACACCACCTTGATTGAAAAGTCGTTTTGGACCTCAATATTGGTGTTTTAATTCAAGGTAAGCTGCTTACTGGGTTATTTCAATAGATTAATGGATCGTATAAAAGATAAAATCAACACTAAAAAGACTCGATCGTTTCTTTTTGTGTTGTTTGTCTTGATTGGCATCCGATCGATTGATTATTTATGTATAAGGAGAATCAATCAAGTTATTGATTTTATAACATAACCGAGTTCCTTTTGATGGTTCCTTTCAGAATTTGATCGAGGTGTCTCACTTCCAAATTATAGATCAATTTAGTGTTATAATTTTTTTGATAGTCGATTGCACAACACTAACAAGACTTAACTTTTATCAACTTTGATTGGAATCACATCGGATCGATGAATCAATCAATTTCAAGGCAAAAAGAAATCATTTGAATTGTTTCCTTTTTTTGTCCAAGCAATCCTTCAATCAACTCACTAATTCATTCCCTAGCTTGCGTATGTAAACTCTTTGGATTGAAATGGTACCTCTCCCTTCTACTTCTTCAAACTTTTACAATGTTGATATCTGAGAAGAATGACCATGATCAAATCTTTTATTTGTTTCTTGATTTGATTGGGTTTTTTATAAATTGCTTTGTCAAAATCACTCAACATCAACACAATGATCATTTGATTGATCCATATATTAATCCACATATACACTCCTCATTGTCTGTGAGTATGAGATTCAACAAAAAAGGCAATCATGACATCATCAAGTGCTTTCTTTGGTCTAGGGGATATTGAACAGCATGAACAATGACTGTTTCCTTCCGGAGCTCATTGAGTTCAATTTGTGTAATCTGAAGGCCTGTTTTTTTTAAATGTGGTTTCCAAAAGTCTTACTCACATGGGAAAGGAAATTTCACATCATGCTCTTTTTTGATTCAATAATCTGACTGTAGTCATTCTGGAAGTTGCAGCACTCCAAACAAATTACCAATGATCTGTTTGGAACTTCAATTTCTCTTTCTCAATTCATGAACTTCAAGATTCTAACAGAAGGAAAAGGCAAGACCATTTTTGCTAAAATCAAGGTGTATTTTATCATCATATTCAACTTGCAACTATTTTTTAGTCTTGAATACATAGATTGGTTGGTCCATTTGCTAAACTGTCTCAAAGCAATCAAATGAAATGAGAAAGAATTTTTAAGACCAAAACTTGCACTCAAGTCAAATCAACACCGAGACAGCAGCGCTCAGGATAGCGCTAGCGTCAAGTTAGCGTAACTCCAGGCACAAAGCTATCTGATAGTGTTGCGCCTTTCATAAGAGTTACGTTGGCAGCCCCGGATAACGGGGCTTTTTTCTAAGAGTTACGTTAGCAAACCGCGTTAACACGGCTTCCTTTTCCAAGTTACGCATCCGCCGCGCACCCTGCTACCGTAGCTCTGTTGTGCATAAGCAAAATCAGGGCCAGCCTCTTCCTGATGGTGCCTCCTCATAACTCCTTACAATGTGAACTCAAGAATCATTCTCATCAACAACATCAGCAACACAATAAAAAATAAAACCAATCAACAAACTTAACAAAGTCCCTTGGGCATTTGGCGCAAGGGACTTTGTTAAGTGTGACCAATCGACATTCACCAACACCAATCACACAAATAGCATCAGATTCAGGGTCAAATAACAAAAAAAGAACTAGAAATCAAACTAATTCAAGTACCATCTCATCAGAAGAAAATCTAGAAGTTTAACTAGATTTAAATCAGATTCTGATAGGTCAACTCAAATATCAATCAAATCACGATCAAATATAACTACTGAAAGTTCAGAATCAGAATCAGATTCAGATTCAAAATCAGGTTTGATTCAATTATCATCTCAGTCTCAATCAAAACAAATCAAATTATCAACTTCATCAAATCATCATGTTAGGACTCAGCAGACCAGGATAGTTGGAAGATAATGAAGAATTACTTGGAGAATCAACTTCAGATGATGAATTAGCATCGAAAAGACCGATTACTAGATTGGAATCAAAAATATCAACTGAAACTAACATGAATATAGTATTATAGTAATAGCAGGAATGGGACTCATCAATCTTTTTCTAATTCAAATCTAATTAAAGCCATTCAATGTAAAGGCAAACAAATTTCAAACAATTAAACACGACCAGCTTCAAGCCTTCCTTCATTAACCAATTTGACATCTCACAAACTGACTTGATTCTTTCATAAACATCACCTTGATTTATCTAAACTACAAAATATAATCAAGTCTTATCCTCAATGCTTAATCTTGCTGATCAAACCTGGATTTGATCATTGATCTGAACTGAATGGGAATCATGGTTGTATGAATCAAGATTACATTTACAATTATATGATCAAGTTTTAGTCAATTAAATTTATATTTCTTTGAGATTTTTTTAGCCTGATAACAAGATGCCATAGAGATAACATAGCGCATATCTCTATGCAACATCATTGAGATAGCGCACAAGTGTCATAAAAGTTGCGCTAATTTAGA